CCTAGTCTTAACATCTCCACATAGACATAGTTAAGAAAATAGAGTATACTCCCAGCATTAGAAATTAGGCGTAACCTGATGCCATTTGAACATTTTCCTCTGCTGTAGGTTCACTAGCACCTGCTCCCATATCAAAAAGTTCAACCCTTTTGTTGCCAAGACTGCTCATATATCTGCAATAACACCAGACAGAGAGATTGGTAAACTAACAGAAACAAATTTATCAAACCAATAATTAATGACACCAGCAGAACCAGCATCAGTTGGAGTCAACTGCTATCGGCTTCACACAGTATTATCAAGAAATTTAGAATCAAAATAAAAATATTGTGAAGTTCTAATACTTAATCTTTCCAAGGACACTAAATCCATGTCTTGATTCTGGACATACAGAATGGTTTGAAAAACTACACCGCGTGCAAGTGTAACTGCTTGTGTCATTGTTCTTATTTGTTGTTGCATCGCTATTAATCCACCAGATGTATAACCACATACAGGTAATACGAATAGTAAACAACACACAGCGATGCAACACCATCAGCAGTTTGCACATTTAACAAGAAAAGAAAAAGGATTATCGTGCAAGAATAGGATTATTTTTGCAAATTGTAAGCTCCTAGTACCTGAGCAAAGATATTGGGATGCTTTTTGGGGAGTTTGACAACAATAGGATGCTGAACAAGTTTAGTTAAAGATCATGTACCATTTATGTTCATTGTAAGAAACTCTCAGACTAGCCAATAAAGTACACTGTTTCTACTCAACAGAAAATATCATATGTGGACGCTGTGGTAAGATTCCACCAGAAAAGAAAGCTATCCGTATGGAGGAAGATGTTGACAAGGTAACCAATTTAAGAGGCAATCAGAATCAAAAAGGGAAGTAGATAATTATCTGGCAAGACTGGAAAATATTTCTAGCAATAAAAGAAACAAATAAATGATTTGCAGTTCTATATGTATGATACACTTCAGATAACACAAATCCTTAATATGTCAAATTATTGTGTAAGAAGCAAAAGAACTGTACAACAGAACTCACGTTTTTCTCAAGGCTACATATGAGTTCAGCTCTTTGATCTGCAAAATAAAAGCAATTCAATATAGCAAAATCCTTGAGGCACATGCATGTCAATCCTCATGCTGAACCAACTCATAATCGTACACTGCTTGGCATAAAATTTATTTCCTACGGAATAGGAGTACAAGGTCCTAATATTTAGATGACACATGGTCTATACCAACAGATGAGCAGGCCAACCAGAGGTCTTTACAAAAAATTCAAGACTTCTCATGCACAGAAGTAAATCACGCATTTGATTATAGACTCAGCTTTTTACCAAGTGATCAAAAAGTTCTCCTTAAATGATCCCTCAGTCTTACTGTATAATAAGCAGCTAGGTCATCGACACCACAAAAATTGCCCAGCAACTACAGGACAGAGCCTTAAGGCTGCTACTGCACTATATGCCGAAGAAATGAGAACTGAAAGAGCTGCACTGTGAAACATGTTTTCAATGGTATGTTATGTCATCTTGATCCTCAAATGGGAGCTACAATAGGTTGAAAAGATATTTCAAAAAACACTATGATATGGACTGTTTCTCAGAAAAATGTCATTAAAGAATTTGCACTTCCAATTAGAAACAAAAACAAGTTGGTAGGCACCACTTTGTCCGTAACATCCTTTGAAAACAGTTTCTAGTCACATTTGGCTCTTGACAAAATTCCAGAGTCTCACCATGGACTGCTTCTCATCATTGAGTTGCTTGTTAACTTCAGGAGGATTTCTACTCTCCTCATCCTTAATTTCACGATCAAACTCCTTGATTAACCTAAAATTATCATGAAAAGGGGAAAATAAGAAAATTTAGACACAGGAACCCGAAAATGCTTCAAACCAATAAACTCAGCAGCTCAATTCTCGGACAACAATACCAGAACAAATAAGTAATGAACAGTACCCATACCAAATATTCATATTTAATCCAGAACTCATTTGCTTTCCTCCTCATTCACAAGCTTTAACAGCCAATATGAGGTGACAAGAATCGAGTAAAATACATGTTATAAAAACCTTGACACAAGTATATCCAATCAACTAGAAAACAGAAACTCAGATGCCAAAAGTAGTGGGTAAAACTGGATGCAAAGGGAAGCAAGGAAGAAAAAAGGAAATTCAGTCACCTTTTACACTCCCTCATCTTGCCTGTAAGTTCTTCCAGCTGTTTGTTCTGCCTATTGGAGTCCTTGATCTTATCCAGCTTTTGAAAGCCATTTCTGAACCCATTTGAGTTAAGAGCGATTGATCAGCAATCATCCAGCAGCAAAAGAAGCAAGTAATAAATTTTAGCACCGCAAACATGAAAATGATCTCAGACGTACGGCATACATAATACGGGAGCTAAGACGTACATGTAACAGGTAAAAGGCAGATATAGGTTTATATTCAGCAGGAAGGATGCAAGTTGATTATTAGGATAACTAAGAACCTGAATTGGGCACAACCACAAAGAATCAGAAATAACTAGTGACAGTCATTTAAAAACCAGTGTAGTTGATGAGATTGCGGCGGGACATGGCTTTAGAAAAAAATGACGAAAGAAAAGGGGTTCGATGTAGAGGTTAGAGAATTGGGCATGCAAAAGTTGTATAAGCATAACTATCACAATTAACATTAGCATCCATCCTAGAAAAGTGTGGAAATGAGAGAAACGCGTAAGATGGATAAATCGTAGTGAGAAGGAAATACTAATTGATTGCATAGAGAGGGAAAGAAACGAAGAATTGGAAGAATTACGCGAGGGCACGAAAATTATCACGGATTTCACCGTGGATCTGCTCCATTTGAGGGCTCATCTGCAAGTCCAAATTGTTGGCCATAATCGTAAGTTGATGATGTTCCTTTTTTTTTTTTTTTTTCTTTTTTTCTCTTTTTTTGGGTTTTGTGAATGGTCTGGCTGGCTTGAAAGGAACCCTAAATCCCTCGGGTCCCTAAGAAGGAAGATGAAGCAAAATCCCAAATTGTTTTTTGTACACGGCACTCAGCACGCACCTCTCCCTCAGAAAGGAGAGAGAGAGAGAGAGAGAAACGAGAATGCGGCTTTTCTCCAAAATCTCAGACCATCCCTTTTATGCAGAACAACGAAAAACTCGTAAGGAATGGTAAAAATTGGTACAAGATATTGATCGTGGGAAATAGTGAAAGAATAAAACAGAACCCTAATCAGAAATAGTAGAAGGTAAAGAGGATAAAAGGAACAAAAAGACAATGAAAAGAGAGCAGCAGCAGCAGGGGAGGAGAAATCAAAATGCGGCCAAAAGCCCCTAGCCGTCGTGGGCCGTGGAGAACCAACAACAGCAGCGAGAAGAAGAAGAAGAAGGAGGGAAGGAAGGATAGCCCAAAGCCTGGTCTTCTGCAGTGCCAGCCTAGAGAGAGAGAGAGAGGAGGGCGGAGGGCGTTCTGGGGCGGACAAGGGTCCGGTAGTTGATTTTAGTTCCTTCTAGTATTAATTAATTAATTAATTATATATATATATATTTTTTTTTTTTAAAAAAAAGACTAATTATTATTTGCTACTATTACATTACAGGGTGCCTCTCTTTCTCTGCCAAATCCCTTTATCTGTCTGCGAAAAGCCAGTAGTAAAGCTCCAAACTTTTCTTCTCTTTCTTTCCTGTTTCTTTGTTCTGCATGCTTGCCTGCTTACAATTACGTCATCATTTTATTGTCAACTGGTTCAGGCAAATTTTTTGTGCAAAGAAAATAAAAGAAAGAACACCTGTAGATCCTTCACATCATCTTTCTTTCTTTCTTTCTTTCTTTAATTTAGCCGAAAATGTGTTTATGGTCACGCATGCATGTGTTGTCAATTTGCCCTTTTGAAAAAACGAGACTATGATGTGCTTCTTTCTTCCTTTTTGTGTTTTTGAAGGTCTATGAAAAAAGAGAGAAGCACATAAGATCCGAGAAGGCCAGGGGCATCATCTTATCATCAACTCACTACTCTCTTTTCAAATTTATGGTGAGAAAAAATGGTGATCGATCTTAAGGCCCCGTTTCGATTGCATTTTTTTAGAAAAATTTCTGTTGCGATTTAATATATGTGAGATAAAAGGTGATAGGGAAATGTGTTCACGAAAAAACGTAGTAATTTTTTTGAAAAAAATCGCAATCCAAACGGGATTTTCAGTTACTTGCAAATTGGTGGCAATGCGTTAGCTCAGGTACAACTGCACCTTTTTGGAGGAGGAATCACACACAGTTTTGGAAGAACAGGAACAGGGTGAGGGTGGAAAGGGATATCCGGCGGCCCATAAACAATAATGTACCTGCACATTTGTTGTCTGAAAACGTCCTTGTCTCTCCAGGGAAGTAGTCGAGTTTGTTTTGTAAACTTACGAGCGCTGCTACTGTTGATCTAAACATGATACGATGGTTTTTCTCTCCCATTCCCCATTAGAATTAGATTGGACAGATTTTCACAAGTATGGATGGAAGTCTTCCTGAACCTCTTTCGCCCCAACCCAACCAACCATCAGTCAGTCAACCTTAAACAAGTTCTTTGAAATTGCAAAACAAGTCAGTCATTTAGAATTTGTGCCTATATCTGTCCAATCCATTAATTATTATGGACACTTCTTCAAGGAAGCAGAGGATAGTGGTAATTGGTAGTGAGAAAGAAATCTCGAGTATTTTTGGATCCCAGTTTTCTATGAAAAAACACTCATTAATATTTTTTTAATCACTTTTTCGTTTCATATACGTTAAATTGCTATATTTCAATTTTTTTTGTTTTATAGAAAACAATAATACTTCCAAAAAAAAAAAAAAAGCAATGAGAATGAGATACTAGTGCGCCCTATTTTCTATCAAAACTCAAATGAATCCAAAACAATACGGGTACGTAAATCCAAGTGCACCTGAGGTTCAGGGGGTAATACGTAAATAACTACTAATAATCTACAGCTACTTAGCAGAGACGTCCGTCCCGAATTCATTCGTTCGGTCGTTTTTGTTGTGTGGTTCGTTTTTTCCTCATTCCTCAACTCAAATCTCATCATCATCACCGTTTCCGTTTTCCTTCTCACCAATCAGCCATGACCCACCACCACCACGGCACACACCTTGTCTTGTGACTTGTGAGTCGTGTGAGCGCTAGACAAAAGTACGTCCCCTCCCTTCTGCTACTGCTATTGATTTATTTATTTATCCTACTTCTCAATCCTCTCAAACTCAGCCGGCTCTGCATGTTTAATTTTGCCAACTTCCTTCATTCTTTCTTAGGAGTAGGAGGAGGAGGAGGACGACGTCTACCTCTCTCTGTCTCCCCAATTCTTTGATCAAATTAGGGGCGCCCCCCGCCTCTTCTTTCTTTCTTCTTTCTTTCATTTCACAAATTGTTTGTTGGGAAGCTTGGGGGAAACAAATCCCACCCCACCCCCCCCCCCCCCCAAAGAAAAAAAGGACCAAAAAAAGAAAAAAAAAGTTGTTATTTGGGTTGGTTGGGAGAAAATACTGGGAACCCAGAGGCATATTATGGCTGCCAAAAAGCTTCAGGAGACGCTGTCTAAGGGTGTGCTTGAAGAAGTTCATAGATATGGTGGAATGAAGCAAACCGGAGTCAGTCTCAGGTACATGATGGAATTCGGCTCCCGACCCACCCCCCGCAACCTCCTCCTTTCTGCTCAGTTCCTCCACAACGAGCTCTCCATTAGGATTGCCAGAAGGGCTCTTGAGCTCCAGTCCCTCCCCTATGGCTTATCCTCCAAACCTGCCGTTCTCAAAGTAGGTACCCTTTTCCCCATCTTTTCTTTTCCGCATCTTCTCTTTTCCGTACCCCCACCCCCCCCCCCCCCCCCAAAAAAAACCCGGGGGGGGGTCCCTTTTTTTCTACAACATGTATTCAAGATTGGACATTTCAAGGAGCGAGGAATTTCATTCCACTTGGTTGTTTCTACAAGAAATTGTGGGGAACAATAAATAATTCATAACTAGTCATAGAAGAGTAATGATATAGTTATCTTCTACCAGAGCACACCAACCACACCCCACTTTTGTTTCCTTGAGACCTTGAGGGAAAGATTTTGAAATGTGCTGTTAATTCCGTCTTATTGGGGCATATCGCTTCTTTGTAGGAATTTAATGCCAGAGTAACAAGGAACTACTGCTAATGTTGCTTAGCAAGTAAATCCTCGAATGTAGCTCAATTCCTTTGAACTGATATTGTTGCTCATCCCTAGATTCATTGTCATGGCATCATGCTCTGAATTGGCAAGCATAATCAGGCTGGCGATCAATTTCCATTTGTCAGCATAAGTTCCAAACCTGGATCTTCCCCAAAATCATCCTGCCTTTAACAATATCATTGTTTTCCCTCCTTAGGTGCGAGATTGGTATCTGGATTCTTTTCGTGATCTTAGATCCTTTCCAGAGATAAAAGACAAGAACGATGAGCTTGAATTCACTCAAATGATCAAGATGATTAAGGTGAGGCACAACAATGTTGTTCCCACGATGGCTTTGGGCGTCCAGCAGTTAAAGAAAGATCTAAAACCCAAGGTGGACTATCAGGATCTGGATGAGATTCACCAGTTTCTAGACCGTTTTTATATGTCAAGAATTGGGATCCGCATGCTCATTGGTTAGCCGCACATCCTACTTTTTACATGCCTACTTTGTCTCATTTAACTACACATATACTGAAATTGATTTTTTTTTTTTGGTCCTAATATGTTTCAACTCAGGGCAGCACGTGGCTTTGCATGATCCCAATCCTCCTCCTGATTGTGTGGGATATATACATACAAAGATGTCTCCTGTGGAGGTTGCTCGACATGCCAGTGAGGATGCCCGCTGCATTTGTTTCCGGGAGTATGGCAGTGCTCCAGATGTTAATATTTATGGGGATCCTAATTTTACCTTTCCGTATGTTGTTTGCTGACTAATTAGCTCTTGATCATGTCTTTCAAGTTTGCTGCTTGGATTGCCGGATCCCTTTTTCCTCTTTTCATGATCTTCTTCCCTTTTTCTCAAAAGTCTGTATTATGGCAGTATGCTGCATTATGTAGTACAAGTCGGAAATGCGATGCTTTGAGGTCCTGTTTGTTTCACACTCTTGATTAATGCGTTCTGCTTTGGCTACAGTTACGTACCTACACATCTGCATCTTATGGTTTTTGAGTTGGTTAAGAATTCTTTGCGTGCTGTTCAAGAGCAGTTTATGAATTCCGACAAGGTTGCACCCCCTATTCGTATAATCGTCGCTGACGGAATAGAGGATGTTACCATTAAGGCACGTCCTTTTCCATATTTCTTTTTTCTTGTTTTGTATTTCAAAGTGCTGCTTTATATTTCCATTTCCATCCATCATTGACTATTTTTTTGATACACAGGTTTCTGATGAAGGCGGAGGAATTCCAAGAAGTGGCCTTCCAAAAATTTTTACATATCTCTACAGTACTGCAAAGAATCCCCTTGATGAGCAGGTGGACCTGGGAATCGCCAATACAACAACTATGGCTGGTTATGGATATGGACTTCCAATAAGCCGCTTGTATGCTCGGTATTTTGGTGGTGATTTACAGATTATATCCATGGAGGGATACGGTGCGTAACTGTTAAATTCTTTTGCAACTGGTGGCTTTCCAACTAGTTTAAATTTGCTGATTGCTGGTAGTCCTGTAGTTCTGCTTAAGAACTTTTGAGATTTACGCTGTAACGGCTTAAGATGTTATGATGAAGGAATGTTTGATTAGACGATGTTAAGATGGTGATAATGCGTGGATATCAGCCGACCAACACCCCCGTCATCAGAATGCACTCAAGTCACTAAAAGATACACTATTTTTAAAGTTCCTGTCCTTTACAAGTTTAAGAAGGAATAGGATGTTGATTGAAGAATGACACAGTTTGTGTTTATTTTATACTGTATCTCGTGCTTCTTTTTGCTGTAAATTGTCATCTTATGTTATTTTTAAGTATAAAAGGTAAATCTGATGTTCTGAATATTGGTGTTTTACTATCTCAGGGACGGATGCCTACCTTCACTTGTCTCGGCTTGGTGATTCGCAGGAGCCTTTGCCTTGAGTTTAGGACTATGATTAAAACTTTTATCTCCCATGTAGCTGCATAGCTTCATTAAATACAAGTTTGCAGCACAAGGAACATAATGATGTCCGTTCAGATGTACTTCAGTTTTTAAGTTATAATTCCGATGTACTTGCCATGAGATATAATCAATCTCTAGGTGAACGAAGAAGACACCTTGGATTCTTGCACTTCGACAGAAATGCTCCATGGTTAAGTGCTGAATCCGACACTGATCATTTATGAACTTCACACGCTTTTGATCAAGTAGGTTTTGGCACTCCACAGACTCCATGTCTTGGTGCTCGTTGACCATGTCCATGCCTCACACTAATTCTTTTGAGATGGTATGATAATACGATAGGATTATTCTGATAATTAACTTTGTATGGCAAGTGAATGGCGCCTCCTCTGTCCTAATCCCTTGAGGTCGTGATTTTCTTTTAACAATGAACAACTCATTAACAATGAACAACTCTATCCTGAGTCTCACTTCCTACTAATATGCACATAATGATGAATCAACAGAATATCTGAGCACAGAAAGAAACCCATCATTGGATTGGCACAACAAAACGAAAGTATCACACCTCTTATCTCATCAGTCGGCCAAAATCAATGAAGATTTTACAGGGGATATAGCAATACGATCTATCAAAATTTCGTGCGAGTTTGCTTTCTCTTCCTTTTCACACAAATGACGAGCAGAATAGTTCTTCACTTTCTAGATGAATAAAAACTCAGTCAATGCCTCATTTGCTTAGCTCGCTTCATGGACTTCCGTCCTCTTATTTTCCACTTGTCAACCCCAGCAGGTCGGTTTTGCTCTTCAATCTCTTGAACCTTGCGCTTCCTGCAGAGTGTTGTCAGGTTAAAAAGAATAGGAAAATCGCCATAAAAGGCCAAAAGAAAAGGAGGATGGCAACTAGTCTGGCAGAACTTCGATGGCATGTATGAAATAACTAATAAGAGTCTTGGTTTCTCATTATTCAAAACAAACCACTACCGGCGTTCCTTGAAACCAGGAATAACTTGTTAGAAGCAACAGTCCACCAGGACAGTGACCAGTGTAGATTTAGCTTACCATTTTTACCAACAATAGTAATACAGACAAGAAGTATGATGTGTAATGGCATAAACAAGTGTTGATTCCTTCCATACCTGTACACTGCAAGGTTAGAATCAGAGAGTAGCTCATCAGCAAGGGTAGCCTTCCTCTCCTTCTTGGTAAGTCGACCTGTATAGAATTCTGAAGCAGACTCTATTATAGTCCCCACCTGATCAAATATAAGAATCAAATATAAGACAGGCTCAATTACAGATTTTCCTTGACAAGTACTATTATAATTATAGGGCGTCCGGGAGGTACAGACATCTATACTATTAGACCACATATTCACACTATAGTCGATAGAATATCCTATAATACACCTTTTAATGTAATCCAAGATGAAAAAACAATGACAAGGTAGTTGGACGGCACATGCAAATATGCAGTAAGGTATGTGGTGTGGATTGTCCACAACCCCAAAAAAAAAAAAAAAGATGATGAACGATGCATTATGGACTTGCCTGAAAGTATTTGGGGAGTTTTTGATCTCGAGTCACCCTTCTTGTAGTGTCTCTTGGGATCCATAGCATTCCTTAACTGAAACCACAAACAAGTTGTGATAGTCACAAACAAGTATCCATCTACAAGCACTACAATATAATTACAGCCCCTGTGCGCTGCCCCGGGGGTGGGGGAAAGCATTTTAACATTCCTCTATAACATTAAATCCATCTGCAGCAGTTTGCAGAGTCAATAAAGACAATAAAACCATTAGCAGAAATAGACAAAGAAGATAACAGGAAAGAGACTTTAGAGACACCGACTTAGAACAATATGAGAATTGGCTGACAGTTTTTAAAAGCATTAGGTCAAAATAAAGATGTCGTCATATGTCCAGACAACAAAACAAGATGCACCAGTGATGCTCTGTGATTTGACTGTTCTTTCGTGATAGACGGGATCTCACTTTGGAATATGAAACATAAGTATGGGTCTTAATCTGCTTTGTGCCATTTATTTGTGAAAGAGCAAAAGCGGAAAGAGAATAAGTTGATAAATGAACGGCGAAGAAGCAAGAGAAGAGGAAGAAGCAGCTTGGAAGAAGATGTCAAGAGACCAAAGTTTTTTATGAACCTAAAACTAAGAGGGAACAGCTTTTCATGTTAGTCGATGTTGACATTTGCACTAATGCAATGTAACAAAGATTGAAGCAAAGACATGTACATCTCCCTTCAGGTCAGGCATCCTACAGAAGCTCAAAGGAGGAACTTTCTTCTTGTTTTTTTTTTTTTGGGTCCAAACTAGAAGAAAAATGCTACTACTACGATGTAGTTATACGAGTTTGTTGCGAAAGCAACAAAAATTGGCAGCTGCCGCTGAAGATAGAGAGAAAATGGCTGGAGTTGGAACTTGGAAGATGGGGTGGGAATTGGGATGCCTTGCTTTTCCTCTTTCTTTCTCATTTGCGAGCGGGAAAAATGAAAACTTTCTAATTCACGAGTAAAAGAAAAGAGCAGGAAGGATAATTAGAGAGAAGGGAGAGGACGCAAAGCGTGAAAGTAGCAAGTAAGGTTACCTTCAAGAGGTGGAGGTCTTTCTTTAACTCGGGAGTGAGAGTCGGAGCAGGCATGTCAAACCTAATTCAGGAATCAAAATCACCAGCTCAGTCCCACAAACCAAACATCATAACAAGAAGAATAATAATAATAATAGGATGCGACGCTTCTCTGGGTAAAATCCTATTGAGATATTCACAAAACAAATAAATACGTACCACTAATAGGATTTAGTCATATAGGAGTTAAAAGAAAAGAAGGAAGAGGGTGATGGGGGGTGGGGGTTACCAATGCTTGCCAGCAGTGTGTCGGAGTTGTTTCCTGAGCAATTTATTGAGCTTTTTGGGGTCGTTAGGCCGAAGGTAGAGTCCATCTATGAGGTCGTCCTGTTGGGAGGAAAAAGAGGAGGGGCTTGTGCTAGTTTCGGCCCCCAAATGGTGGTGGCGGCGGCGGAGGTGGTTTCTGGACGAAGAAGCTGAAGCTGTATCTGGAACTGGAAGCCAAGGTAGCTTGGGTTCCCACGCTAGTCCAATTACTGCTGGTGCGTTGTTCTTGTTTCCTGATGCTGCTGCCATTCTCTCCAATACACAGATCCAAAAAGGAAAACCCAGAATACAGAGAGAGGAGGAGGAGAGAGAGAGAGAGAGAGAGAGGAGGGAGGGGAGAGGGGGGGGACAAAGGACGATTAGGGAATTTCCGCTTTGAGTCGGTGTCCTACCCAATTTGAAATAGGATTAAATTACATTTACCTCCCTGATGTTTAGTTAAACTACCAATCAGTCTCCGAGGTTTGATCAAATTACATCTACCTCCCTTATTGGTAACCACGTCAATATCCTACCGTTAGAGGTTGCCAAATGACAAAATTATCCTTTTCAAATTCAATAAATTTGAAATGGAAAAGGAAAATGCAAAAAGGAATTAAAATAAAAAAAAAGAAAATAATTCGAAGGAAAACAAGGATACAAATAAACAAAACCCACCAAATATAGAAGAAAATAGAAATGAGAAATCATCAAAATCTCTCAACATATTTTAACTGTTACCAGTAGTGCACCACCGCCACCAGCATTAGCTTCTTTCCCTTTTTTTCTCTACTATTTCAATCTTGAATCTTTTTTTTTTCATTGTTTGAATGCCGTTATAAGATTGGAGTATTTTGTTGATAAGCATGGAAATTTATTTCTAGGATTCATGGAGTTTGGATCTTAGGTTGAATCATTTTGTGATAGCTTATATGTGATTACTATTTGTTTATTTTTTTGTTTATTTTTTATTTTTTTTTTACAAACGATAACTTCATATATATAATTATTTTTTTATTTTTTTTATTTTAGTTTGAAAATTGGGATATATGAGGTTTTTTATTTATGGCTGTTTGATTCCCTAATGTTTTCGGTTTCTGCCATATCTATCTGTTCCTCATTTTAAGGATTGTTTTGGTTATAAGTTTCATCAAGATGCCTATTATTTGAGTGAGAAGAAACGGAGCAGTAGCCATAGCTTTCACTTTGTATAGCTGCTCTACAATCACTTTTGATCAATTTTAAGACAAGAATCATGTACTACTCAAGGAGGCAATTTTATTAGTGTAATTTCTCAATTTTGGTGGTGGTGCTGCTACCCGTAGGCCGTAGTTTGCCGTGGTCGTTACGGCTCAAAGTTGATGGAGAAGACTAAAGGTACAAGGAAGAAGAAATGAAAAAAAAGAAAAAAGAAAGAAAATAAAAGATGATATAATGGCTTTTAAGGGTGGGTATTATAGGATTTTCATTGTCTATTTTATGCTGAAATCATCAAGTTTGATAGTCAATCGTTAGTTAACTAACAAGAAGGGGTGTCTGTTAAAGTTTTAGTAGTTTGGAGGTTCATTTTGTTATTCGGTGAAACCTTAAGGAGTGATTAGTAGTTTTGTTACACCTCAAGGGAGGTAAATGTAATTAACCCTTTGAAATAAAATCCAAAGGCAAATACGCAAAAGAGTAAAGAAAAACAGAATGCTTTTATGACAACCATTAAATCAAATGCAAATTTCTGTACAAAGATCTGTTGTAGTACGCTCTTTGGCTAGAATGCATGGGAGAACCATCTTTGAATGGCTGTAACCATAGCTTTGCAAAGATTTAACAGTCTTTTGTTCACACAACGATTTAACAGCCACAATGCAAATTTCTGTACAAAGATTTAACAGCCTTTTGTTCACAAGGATGCATAATTATAGTCAATTCCTAGACAGCAAATGTGTGATGCCATGGATACTTTTCTCAACACCATTGCTCTCAAATCTTACATATATAAAGCGTCCAAAGCCTTATGAATAGTGCAGGATGAGCCGGTTATGCCGTGATTTGTGTGAGCTTGAGGGGCATTTTGGTCCTTTGCTGATGGGTGGCAGTGGCTCTGCTGGTATTTTGCTTTTGTCCGCTGGCTCTCTTGCATTGTAACCTTGCTCTGTCCGCGTGGCTCTTCATTTTGGTAGTCAGCAATTACTATTAAGTTAGTGGGCGGTTGGGCGGTCAGCAAATGTCTTGAAAAGCTTTCTAGAGTCTTCATTCTTTCTAGAGTCGTTGGTCGTTGCTGTCCGAAGCGGTTTGTGGGTCTGCATGGCTCTTATTCTCTTTTGCTCGTTCTCGGTCACCAATTTGCTCTCATTATTTTCTTGCTTGTGTTCTCAGCTGTTCAGCAAATATAACTTGAGAAAGTTTCTTTTGGTTTTGAAGTGCTTTACTATTCAGCAAACTTAGACCGTGAGCTCAATCTCTTTTTGGCTCTAATTTTTCTTCTTAGTTTTCTTTCGCAGCTTCGGAAATAACTTGAGAAAGTTTCTTTTGGTTTTAAAGTACTTCACTGTTTGATTGGCTTCGCTGGAAATTCATTTTTGTTGCTGTGGTTCTTTTGTATGGTTCATTTTAGACGTTTGTTTGGTTTCCGCTTGAGCTGTGTATAATATGCTTTGAGAATGGGTCGAAATAGAGTATATGGAAGTTTAGAAGAGGCTCGTGCTGAGAAAAATCGAAGGAGCCGCGAGCAACGTGCTGCTGCTCGGCGTGGGACAAAGAATGATGCGCCATTAGGAGTGTGTACATTAGCTGTCATGGCTTTTAATATACATGACCCAAATGCTGTGAATCAGCCAAATATGGGCGTCGTTGAATCTTCATTAGGTTCGGGCTCAGTATTGCCATTTGCAGAGAACAATGCAGAGCACCTTCGAGCTGTATGTCTGTGCTTATTTTGAGCATTTCTCATGCAATATAAATTGTTGCTTAAATCTTTTGGAATAAATGTTAAATTATTTATGTTAACAGTGGTTTCGCCTAAGCATGTACTTTGGTAAGACAAACGAGTTTGACTTAGTTAAGCATACTAAACTCACAGTCTTTAACTATGCTTTGGGTGTTTTAAAGGAAAATCAAGGAGATGTATCTAGGTCTGCTGGTAATGGTGCTAGCGAGGTTCCAACAACTAATTCAGATGCGGGTGAATCATCTTTGCATAGGCGACGTCGGCGTACAAGACGCTCTGTGACTAATCCATTGACCACAATAATTACAGAGCCTGCAGTATTGCTCAATAATGTAGAGCAATTTCCAACCGTATGTTTGTGCTTATTTTGAGCATCTTTCATGCAATAAGATTGTTGTTTAGACCCCTTGCAATAAATGTTAGACTACTTATATTACCGGCTAGACTAACCAGTGGGTGAGATATTAGTTTTTGTCTATTATAAGTCAGATTGACTGACTTATTAGGCACACTGAATTCATGGTCCTTAAGTACGCTTTGGCTGGTTTGCAGGAAAATAAACAAAATGTCTGTGCGTCTATTGCTGATGGTGCTAATGAGATTCCATCAACTAATTTAGATGCTGGTGAACCACCATTGCGTAGGCAGCGTCGGTCTAGAAAACGAGCTATGACTGATCCATTAACTACAATAGCTACAGAACCTGCTGTATTGCCTGATGTTCCAAGTTGTCCATATTGTCATGCAAAACGATTTCATCAGGAACCACCTGGTTTTTGCTGTGCCTCCGGTAGTAAATTAATTACTCCTCTCACACTCCAATTTTCCAGACTAATACCCATTATAGTAAATTAAGAAATCCCAGCTACCTGACGCACAGCGTCAGGGCAAAAAACTAGTATTACAACAAAGTACCATCTCTTAAAATCCAAATCAAATGGATAACAGCCCACAATACATATTGTCCCAGATAGACTAAATAGAATCCAGTATACAGCAGCCTAGCCAAAAATACAAGGCAATTAAAAATTCGACAATAGTTCCATTGTCATCAAGTAGTTAAAATGGTATATTTGATTCCCCTCAAAGACATAATAAAGTTAGGGGAATGCTTCACAAAAAAAAAAAAAAACATCCTCCCTTTAAGATAAGAATTAATCTTTTATACACTGACGGTGTATACACTTTCATCATTAGATTTATGACACATAATCCGAATTTGAATTTGAAACTCAAATTTTGCATATGTGTTATATATCCAACCTTGATAGTATATACACCGTCAGTGTATGTAAGATTTACTCTTACGATAATTAGTCACACGTCCACACAAGTTAACACCCTACATCAAGAAGCAGAATGCAAAACAGTAAGAATAAAAGTAAGAATGGAAAAGAAATTAAAAAGCTAAAGATTAAAATCAAATCCAAAAGATATAATTTAAAAATGAATGTCAGGGGGAAAAAATAGAAGAAGAGATTCATAAGCCTTCCCCAAGCAACTAATGTTCGTGTTAGTCATTTTTTGAAGGAAAAAATGCATTTAATGTTTTCAAACTACTAAAGATATTCTCATGTTTTTAGTTCATTCATGGTTCCATCCTAAAAACATCAACTCAAATGATTCATCAAACAACGATGCCACGGTCTATGCACATTTTTACTAATATATCTTCCCAATCAGGTGGAGATATACTGCAAATCATCGAGCAATAATTTGTAAAATTCTTTTCCTAACATCATTATTCACTACCTTTAATCACAGGCACTCAACATCCATGAAAAAATTCAAGTAATATATGAGAAGTAGAAATTAATCGACAAGAAATTTTTGCTAAAGGGGTGGAAACAAAAAGTTTTTTTTTTAAAAGGATCTTTCTTTAATTTGTTTGATCTTTTAGGCTTGCCATTTGCAATGTTAATGTAGATTGGAGATAGCTGTTTGAGAAAAATTTAGGCCCGGTTTGGACAGCTATTTTCCGTTGGAAAATTGCATCGTTTTCAGTGATCACATTTTCCTATTACCTTTTTTCCTCACATACATCAAATCGCTACAGTAATATTTCTACAAAAAATCCTAGAAAATGCAATCCAAACAAGGCCTTAGACTGTGTTTAGATTGTTTGAGAGATATCTAATATTCTCTCACATCTCTTTAATCGGTTAGATTGTTTAGATTAGATGGGAGGTATTTGAGTTTATAAATCACATTGTAGCTTTTAAAATGTATTTTAACAATTGATAAATTATAAATCCAAATACCTCTTAAATAATCCAAACAAGTAGAGTGATTTTGGTATATTTCAAATTTTTTACTCCCTCCATTCCAATTATTTAATCATGTTTCGGATTTCAACTTTTTAAAAATTGTGATTTGGTTGTAATGTTTGTATTTTTTTTAATTTTATCCTACAAAGTCAAATTTTAAATTTGAATGATAACATACATATGATTAGAAAGAAATGACACATTGAAAAAAAAAAAACTAAAAGATATTTTAATTTTTTCAATAGATAAATATTTTGAATATCTCAAAATGAAAAGTAATGGAAGGACTCAATCCAACCTAACATTTACGGGAAAGGAAACAAGCTGCCAAAAAAAAAAAAAAGGAACCAACTACACTACATTCATCCTGAAAAAGTTAAACTATTTATTCCCGGGCTCAAACCAAAATAACAAGATAAGATTAATCTTTTTGTAAAATTGGATTCTGGAGGAATACTACTACATGAATTGAACTACAAAAATCAATCTACAGTAACTCTCTATACAACTGATTCCATTGTTCAAGTACATCCGACGGCCGGTCCGGCAAGGTAACTTAATCGCTTTGGTCATCGTCAAAGAAATTCGTATCACCCTCATCGTCACAGCCTCCACAGGCATGAGCAGGATTCACGTCCAAAGGTTCCACTATATCGGCCACTGTTACCATCTCCAAGGATCCCTTTCTGGAGTCTGCAGCATTTCCATCATCGTGATCCAATTCGTTCTCATACGTCTCCACATGCTCCATGTCACTATACAGGATTTCCTGCAAAATATATTGCTAAGCAAATCTCTTGATGCCCCGACTACAGAGGAATGAGTTCATAGGTCATAAAGAACGTAAATGAATTACAGAAGACTCATGAGAGAGGAGTTAAAAGTGCAGGAGACGTAATAAGTTCCAACACTAGAATACGAAAAGCCTCACTCTGTCATGAAAGATCAGAAGTTTGACATGTTACGCGTGAATTTGTCTTGCAAATTCAGATTTGCATTTTATCAGACTTCCAATTTAATTTCGATTCCCAAATGAAGCACAGAAAACTATTTGATTCCAATTTAGCACGAGAAATAGTTACCTCATCTTCCAGTACGGCTTGCTTCTCCCTCTCCACTATCCAGTCATACAATAAAGTTTCTTCCAGTACTCCATCAAGGGAAATCGAGTCACTGGACCTTTTCCATATCTGGCGCTCCCTAAGCCGCAAGTTGTAGTGAACATAGATTATGTCATTTAACCTTTTTTGGGCAACATGATTGTGCCTTTGGCTGTAAATCTGATCGAAAATGCTCCAGTTATGTTCACAACCAAAAGAGGAGCAAGTTTGACTGAGTATGCGCACAGCTATCCGTTGGAGCTCCAGGCAATTTATACCATGTTGTTGCCACCATGCAGCTAAATAAAGAACATATAGGTCAGCAAAGTTTGTAACTGATCAAATGGTGAATTATCAACTGTTTTTAGGTTTTTGACAAGTGTGCTTGTGTATATGGATCAACATAAGAGAGCGCCATTTTCACACATGTATAGCAAGCATTCTGATGCTATAACCTGGATCAAGCTCTGTCCTGGTACTAATGGCCAAGTCAGTTCCAAAATCAGCTTTGGCAGCACCAAAGTCAGAAATCTGTCATGATTCATCAATGCATTGTCAAATATTCACCCATGGAGGGAAACACAAAGATGGATTAGAAGAATGGAATTACCAGAATGACCCTATAACTCAACAAAGAATAAACAGCTAAATACCTGCATGGATGCAGAAATCCTCTTTGTATTGTCTGCTTCAAGCCTAACAATGCATGCATTTAATCCACGTACAACATCTGGATGCTACAAAGATGTATACATAGTTCAAAAGAAAGAACAAGATCACTTGTGACCTTAAAAAGGACTCCAAAGAAGGCATCATTTCCTACCGGGACAAAATCAGGACGGTATCGATAGGATGGATTCAGGAAATAAGCAGCCAAATAAAGTGGATGGTGAAATAATAAATTCCAGTGACTGTCTATCACATTCCAAAAAGGCCCATATTTACGTGCATCATCACCATGGTTGGCTTTGATTGCAATCTTTGCCCTAAACATGTCATTATAGATGAATGAAATGGAAAGGTTGTCTCCACCATTGACCTTCTGAAGCACTTCAACTATGGGGTCTACTGATTTCCGGACAAACTGGACCCTCTTCCAAAATGAGACACTCAATACAATCTTCTCCACTTCTTTACCCTCCTCCAATTTTGAAAACCGAGATGAAAGCCATTTGTTCGATTGGAACATTCTTTTAAGACCAACCCTATGGTCCAACAAACTTTGCAGAGTAGTGAAATTTGAAGCACACCGAGTGACAGATGGCCTCAGAAGTTCTTGCCCTCCTGTAAATTCTTTTTTCATGAGCGTCAGCAACCACATTCGATTATAAATAAATTTTGTGATCCTTTGGCCTTTCTCCAAGCATTCTCCCACCCATTTTATTTTCACAAAATCCGAGAGCATTTGGTCAATACAATAGGCAGCACAAGGGGTCCAAAACAGGTTCCTCCTTTTCTCTTCAAGCATCTTCCCAGCAGCCTGATGACTGGGTGTGTTCTCAGTAATAACCTGGAATACCATTTTCCAGTCAGGGAGACCAAATAAGTTTGGGCTTGGCAAGACGCAAATGAAGTTCAATGCCAGACAAACAAACAGAACAAAATACAACTGCAAAGCTAAAACAAGTGTATTACCTGGACAACATTTTCCTCACCCATCTCTTCAACCACTTTGTCGAGCAACTTAAACAAATATGTTGCATCATCAACAGCATTTGTAGCATCAACTGAACAAACAAAGTATGTTCCCCGAGGACAAGAAACCAAAATATTGATTAATGTCCTACCCTGTGTGTCTCGCCAACTGTCTGCCAAAACAGAACAGCCTGTAACAGCCCACGAAGCTCTGTATTCAGCAAGGTAGTTTCTGACAGTGAATATTTCATCTTGCAAAAATCGCCCAGATAAAACTCGGCTTGAAGGAGCCACAAAATCTTGTCCATATTGACCCACCAACTCCAGCATCTTGTGGAAATAGGGGGAGTTTGCTGCATGTGCAGGAACACCAGCATGGTAGAAGAATTTGCAGATAGCAGACACAACTTCCTTGCGGGATTTTCTGCTAGAAGCTGCTCTTGGTTGCTTGCTAGAAGCTTGAATCTGAGTTTTGGGTGTCTTTAGGGAAATGGCATCAA